AGAGAGAGAGAGAGAGAGAGAGAGAGAGAGAGAGAGAGAGAGAGAGGGAGAGAGAGAGAGAGAGAGAGAGAGGGAGAGAGAGAGAGAGAGAGAGAGAGAAGGTGAAGGCGAGCTACAGGTGAGTTCAACTTTCTTTATTTTCCCTTTTCTTGCGCAACTCGCTCCACCAAGAGTTGCAGGAGCCAGGACGAAAACGGGAAAAAAAAAAAAACCGAAAGAAAGAGGGTTCTCTTCAAATAAAACATTTTTCTCTTTCCGAAATCCGATTAGAACGCATATGCAATTTATTCGAATACAACGCATATGCGTTGTATGCAGAGTGCCCTTCTATTTGAAAAAAAGGTACTAACTTTCGAAAAAGCGTTTTTTTTTTTTTAACTTGAATACAACGCATATGCGTTATGTTCGGGGGAAGAAGGTAGGACCTGGGACTCAGGACTCGGACCTGGGGCTTGAGACTGGGACCTTGGACTTGGGACTGGGACCTGGGACTTGGGACTGGCACCTGGGACTGGGCTTGGGACTAAACCAGGGGTACTGAGATTTGTGAATCCTTTCACTCCCGCCGCGGGCCACTGGCCTAAATTTTAAGTCCTCTGAGAAAGTTTCACCTATCTGCGAATGTGATTCCTTTCAAGGTCTGTTCATAATGAGATACGATCCGAGGTGCAGTCCCTACCAGCTGGTCTTTAGGGAACCACCTATCCTCGTCCAGATCTTGTTACTGCCATCTAGCCTTGAATTGCTGGTCTGCCTCTTCAACCTGATCTGAGGATATCATCATCTACAATCCGATCGATTTCATAACTTCCATCCATATTAGGAGAAATCATAGATGGTCTAGAGGGGAAAGACTTGCCACTGTCCACAGGTAGCAGCTTAGATGCATGAAACACGGGTTAAGTTCTCAGATGTGCGGGGACTTCCACTGTGTAGGATGGGCCGTCTACATCTCCCTTGACGTCAATGATCTCCCACGACCCTCTATATGCTGGCAGCAACTTTTGAGATATCCCTTCTTCAGGCGAACTCCTTGGAATCCATCCACACTAGATCTCCAACAGCGAACTGTGAAGGGTATCTATGCTTGTTGGCTTGTTCAATCATCTCATGCTGTATGTGTCTAATTCTCTCCTTGACTTCTTGCAGGTCTCGCTCGTACTGCAGTGCAAACTTGTGTGTGCCAGGTGGCAATTGCTGCACCTGATCAGCATTCAGGCAGTCTATTGGCCTATGTGGCTGCCATCCTTTATGCAGCTGATTCAGGGTGTGGTCTGTAGACAAGTGCACTTTGTTGTATGCCACGTGAGGTAAGTGCTCGTCCCAATCAACCTGATCTGGTCTAACGTATATCTGGAGAGCTTGCTGCAGTATCTTATTCATCTGTTCAGTCTGTGCATTCATTTCAGGGTGCCTACCTGACAACATGGCCAGTTGTGACCCATACATCTTTACGAGTCCTTGCCACTGCTCCGCAGTGAACCAGACATCTCGGTCACTAACTATACTAAGCGGGTGGCCATTGTCCTTGACCCAATGATTGAAGAACTCTCTAATGACTAACTCTGACCTAGCCTCTGCCGGTAGAGGCACAGATACTGCATACTTGCTAAATCTGTCAACAATGACCATAACCTAACTATTTGTGTTTCTATTAACTACTCTGGTGTCCATAAAGTCAATGAAAACTGATTCTGCGGGCCCTGTTGAGAACGGCAATTGCTTCAGCAGTCTTAACAGGGCTTGTATCGTGCTCTTGTTCCTTTGGCACACTTGACACTCATGTAATACATGTATATAGCGGATGAAATCTGCTCTCATTCTGGGCCAGTCAAACGATCTCATCAACTTAGCAAATGCCTTTCTCCACCCGGAATGTCCTTCTGCGTCGTGGCACTCTCCCAAAATGGTGCTCCGGATAGGCTCACTATTCGGAATGCAGAGCCTATCAGCGACATTGGAAGTCTGAAACAACAACCCGTTTGTGATCCGGTAATATGGCCAGTCTTGCGGCCTCTCCACTACGCCTTGCATGATCTCCCTATAGTACGGATCAATTTGATAGGCCTCTTGAGTACAGTGCTGCAAGTCTGCACCCGTCTCTAGGTAAGTAGTGATAGCTCCAAAGAAATCCCCTCTTCTAGACGACGTATCAGCGACGGCATTATTCTTACCTTTTGCCGATTTGAGCTAAAAAACTCGTCAATCACTCTAGCCCACCTTTGCAACTTAGTGGACATTCGGGCCTGCGTATCGCAGTGTCTCTTGATCCGAATAAACTTTGATGTCTCCATGTCTGTAGCGCCTCATAGAGGGCATACAACTCCCTCTCACAAGTTGGATCTGCTACCTTCTCACAAGGCAATCTCTTGGACATAAACTCCGCCAGATGGTACCCTTTCCCACCGTCTTGTTGTAGGACCACCCCAATCCCATACTAGCCATCATCAGTTGTTACTCTGAACGGCAACAGAAAATCTGCGATTTTTAACATCGAATAATCTATCAATTCCTTCTTCAACTTCTTGAAGATGGACATGCAGTCATGGCTCCATAGCCAAATTGCTTCCTTTTTCAACAACTTCCATCGTGGTACCACTATCGTACTGAAATTCTGCATGAACTTTTGTTAATAGTTAGCCAGTCCGAGGAAACATCTAAGTTGAGTCAAATTTGTCAGTGCAGGCTAGTCCCTGATTGCTGCATTTTTTTTGTCCTCGGGCTGCACTCTGTCTCCATCTATCACATGTCTCACATACAACACTCTGCTTGGCCCACTCACACTTCTTCGGATCCAACTTCAACTTGCAGTCTCTTAGCTTGTCCAGTAGTTTACACAGATGCCCTTGGTACTCCTCTAGTGTCTTTCTAAAGACCAAGATATCACCGAAGTATCCAACTACAAAACTGTCAAGCCAGTTTCGAAACATCTCGTTCATGCATCATTGGAACGTCGAGGGGGAATTCGTCAGTCCAAAGGGCATCACGATGAATTCTGTTGTCGGGACTGGTGAGTCCCGAATGATTTCCCGTTACTCAAGAGACTGCATATGACCAATTTGTGCACGACAGAGAAAACCGGAGGCAGTAATGCTGGAAAGATCGAAAGCGTGGGCACAGGCAGTAGGAAGCTAGAGGCTGCCCAGGGTCGTCAGGACCGCCAAACTAGAAAAGGACGGTCTAAGTAGGAAGCGGCAAAGGACTGCGAGAGAATAGCAGGGGCGACTCTTTCCCCGAAGGACGGAGAAGGGCCGCCGGGAAGTCGCGAGTAGCATAGGAGGTGCGCAGCAAGGGAAGGAAGGAAGTAGGAAGACACAGGGCGCAAGGCGCTGACGCGACGCGGCGGCAGGAGGGCCAAGGAGACCGCAGGGTAGGTGGGAGCCGGCACCCGGAACAGAATAGCATGCGGGATGCAATAGGAGTAGGGAGCGGAGCTCGCTGTAAGACGGAAGGACGTCAGGAGCACCAAGGAAAGACGTGGTACAGGTGGGGCAGGAGTGCCAGGGACCACATGGGATCGAGGGACGGGGCGGTACCAGCAGGACAAAGTGTCGGAGACCGCGTGGGACCAGGGGACGGCGTGGTGTCGGCAGGGCAAAGTACCGAGGACCGCGTGAGACCAAGGGAAAGACGTAATGTAGGCGGACCGAAGTGCCGGGGACAACGTGGGTCTAGATAAAATGGCGGCACCAGCGGAACCACTAGCAGATTGGGTGTCGACGGAATAAAAAAAGTGTCAGGAGCCGCGGACAGGGGCCGAAGGTCGGAGCCATCAGCGGAATAATTGACGACCAGCCCAAGGAGGAGGGCGCGCGAGAGCGGGTCGTCAACCGGGATGACGTCGGAAAAAGGGGAGGGGCTAGGAATGATAAGAAAAAGAGGAGAAGTCGGGCGCTGACGGAAGTTGTCAACGGAACGGAGGAGACGGGCGTGAGACGGGAAAGACGGAAGGTACCCGGGGTGACCCAAGGGGACCCTGGATCAAGTGCGACGGCAATAAAAATAAAATAACATAATACCAGGTGGACGGGACCGCCCAGGCCAGGGATCCGAATGAAAATGATGAGTGTCGCCGCGGCAAGCGCCGGCGGGAGGTGCCGAAGGGAAAAGAGGGGGGGATAGAGGTAGAGGAGGCCGACCAGCAGTCCGGGTTATTCCGGACCAGCCAGGCCAACAAAAACGAAGTTCCGAGGGCTCCACGTGGAGAGAAGGCTGGTTGGAAAAAATCGGAGCAAGGGGGTTCCAAACTGGAAGCAGTGGCAGCAAAAAGGAACCCCCTTTTGCCTTGGGGGTGCCACTACTGCAGTCCGAGGTGCAACGGCCATATGCCGGCTGCAAATCAGGCCTTGGGAAAGGTCCAACAGCTAGAAAAAGGAGAAATAGTTGTTGGACACTTGTCCCAACAGTAAATGAGAAAAGAAAGGAGAAAAAGGGGGGAGAATGAGACAAAGGAGGAGGAAGGAGTGGAGGAAAAAGTGTCGCCAGGTTGGGACTGCAGCGGTAGGGACTGGCAGGTCTCAATGATGACCTCATCCCTCCTAGATCCTAGGAGGGCAGTCCGGATTGCAGAGATAAGGTCCTTGGGGCATTATCTCTGCAGTATCTGAATTTAAGCAACAAAAATTAAAAAAAATGCTGATGTGAGTTGGCCGGCTCATTTTTGGGCCTTAGATATGAGATCTGATCTTGCGGAGGAGGAGATCTAGCCGTTTTTTGTGGGCTGACACAAAACGGCTAGCTCCGGATTGAGTTGGCAGCAAAATGGAGGGAAAACCAAAAGAGGGACAAGACAAAACTGCGAATTTGGCCCAAGGTTTTGGCCAGGTACATCAAAAAAATTAAAAATTGGAGCAAAAGACTCAAATTTGGAGCAAGGGGGGGCTTGGAGTAATTCGGAATGATGAGAACCATAGATCTCAGCCAAATCCAAGGCTGAGATCTGTGCCGCCACTTGGAAAATTGCAACGGCCTACCCAAACCAAGAAAAAGGCGAAAAATGGGCCTTGAGGCCCTCAATTTTCAGTAAAGGCTGCATTTTGGGAAAGGGTACCCCAAAAGGTGGCACTTTTGGAGGTAAAAAGAGGTCGGGGTAGGCCAAGGGGTAGTCCGAGAGGGTACCAACCTCTCGGACTGCATGTACCTGGCCAAAATGAGGCCCAGGTACCCCCGGAGAGGCCAAAACCGAAAATTTGGCCTTTGGGGTACCTCGCTCCACCTAGAGGCACTTGGAGGGGCCTAGAGGTTGGGCGGTGCACCTGTTCCAGCCTATATAAGCTGGAGGTGTAGGCCGCAACTCTCATTTGCGCATGAGAGGTGCCCATGCTGCCCAAATGGGTCCGTGAGTGAGTACTCGTGAGAATAGAGCAAGGAAGTGAGAACCGGAGCTAGCCTGTAGCCTGGCTATGGTGGTAAGGCTGAGAAAGGTGATCTAGAGGCCGGAGAAAGGCAAGGGAGGTGATCCGCCATAGCCCTCAGGCTGTGAGGTAGGAGGAGAGGCTGAAAGGGGTCCCCCTAACCCTTCTAGAGGGAAGGAATCCACAACCTTGGAGGTAGGAGCCTGCCATAGCTAGAGGAGAGGTGTGAGGGAAGGAGGAGAGAGCTTGGGAGAGAGGAAAAGCCATACTTAGGAGGCTAGGACCAAGCATTGGGACTCCACTGCCTAGAGACCAGCGAGAGGTGAGTGAAAGAGGAGGGAGGCCTCCTCCTCCTCCTCCTCCTCCTTCTTCTTCTTCTTCTTCTTCTTCTTCTTCTTCCTCCTCTTCTTCTTCTTCTCTCCTTCTTCTTTCTTCCTCTTCTTGTTCTTCTTCTTCTTCCTCTTCTTCTTCCTTTTCCTTTATTTCTCCCTCTCCTCCTCCTCCCCCTCCTCCTCTTGTCAAATCTGCGATTTTTGCTGATTTGGGTGGGTGTATGTGTTGCGCCTCACCTTGGGATACTTCGGTGATGTTTCCCCTAGTGTAGATGATGTCAAACTTGTCATTTTGTTGATTTGGGTGCCTGGGGGTGTTGCGCTTCATCT